TTCCCTTTAATTAAACATTTAATTTTATCTTTTTAGCAACATTAGCTCTTATAACTTTGTTCTATTGATATTTTAGCCAATGAAAAAATAAGGATTAATGATGTTAATAGAGGAAAAATAAAGATTTAGTTAAGAACAAAAAACACATAGGTACCAAATTAAAAATTGAAAAAAAGTATAGGTACCTCCAATATGGTTTTCCTTATTATTTATTAAAACTCATACTCATTTTGGTCATTTTATAACCAAACTTATTTTTACTCAATCATAATTCAAACAACTTTTTACTGATCTCACTTTTACAAACTAGCTTTTTTGAATTCTAATCCAAACACAATTCAACTTATCCAATTTAGTTTTTACCCAACTTCATTTCTTTATAAACTACTTTTTTAATAAACTACTTTTCTAATCCCTGATTCGAATGGACCCAGTATTTTGCTTCAGCTTTAAGACCGTCCAAGTTGTCATTAAGCCTTCTCCTCTTCCACCCATACATCTGTTCCCCACATGCATTGCAACTTTCTAATATTATTATATATCATCACTTTAATTATATATATGTATAAATTATTCTGTATCGGTAAAATATAGAGATGTGTTGCATAATAAAATAATAAACATAAAATAGCTTTATACTGTGTATCATCAACAACCAGCAACAACTACACAGGTCTCATGATCTCACTCTCACCTCACTAAAGTAAAATTACAAAATACAATATATATTTCCATTAATATATTTTCTTTTTCTCTGTTTTTTGGCGGCCAACTTCCATTAATATATTTTCATTTCCATTACAATAAGAGGAATTTAACTAATTAATGACGTTTTGCTGTTAGGTATCGAATAAAACATACCAGAGGACCAGAGGTCAACGCACAGAAACAGAGGAGGCTAGAGAGAAACAGAGTTACGTAACGGGCGAGGAAGTACTTGATCGTGCTTTCTGTGTGGCATGGCGAAGAAAGCAATGTTGATCGGATGCAACTACCCAGGGACGAAGATCGAGCTGAGAGGCTGCGTCAACGATGTGAGGAGGATGAACAATTGCCTGATTGAGCGTTACGGATTCTCCGATAACGATATCACCGTCTTGATCGACACCGATCCCTCCTGCATCCAGCCAACCGGGAAGAACATACGATCGGCAATCAAGAAGATGGTACGGTCGGCGGAGCTAGGGGACGCTTTGTTCATACACTACAGCGGCCACGGCACGCGCCTCCCCGCCGAGACAGGGGAAGCCGATGACACCGGTTACGATGAGTGCATTGTTCCTTGCGATATGAATCTCATAATCGGTAACCTCACCTTTCCCTCCTTTTCCAATCATAATTTTCGGTGACAACTAAAAATAAACTATACAATGAACAATTTTGGCCAGGTCTCATCATCTTACTTAATATGATGATTTATATTGATGTTTTAAAATTATGGACATATACTCTTGGCAAAAAAAAAAAAGTACATATGCACATAATTTTCAATAATATTTATTAATGTAAATTAAACAATTAGATTATGAAGAAAAGATAAATAAAAAATAAAATAGCTACTTTTACATTTTAGATCAAAGATTTGAATTGATGCAATATATTTTCATTATTGTGCACAATATTGCATAACTATTTCTACCAGAAACAGGCATAAATATCATTACATTACATAAGTTTTGCCGCTTGCATATAAATAACAAAAGAAATATGTAAATGTATTCTATCTTATATGACCAATACAGCAACCGAGGTATTAAAAACGGAGAAAGAAAAAACAGGGGGGGAAAGGGCAGAGACAGAGCTACCCATTAGCTTTAAGACAGAAACAGAAGCATCAGAATTTCAGACGGAATCCTTAGATTTAATCATGTTAAGGGTGCAATGGCTTATTTCAAAGTAATCACCAGGAAAAAAAAGTCCCAATACTCGAGTCAGAATGGGGGGGGGGGGAATTGATTCTTATATTGAAAGAGTTATTTCTACTCACAGTAAAGTTACCTGCAGTTGGATTTAGAAATGCTTAAATCTAACCAATATGATATGGTGGTGAAAGGGAAGGGGGAAGAGTAATCACCAAAGAGAATCGGTTTGTGGCCAGCTTTACACAGATTCAAATGTCAAAATGCTAAATGAATGTTTGCATAAACAGATGATGATTTCAGAGAATTTGTGAAAGAAGTCCCAGAAGGTTGCAAAATCAAAATTGTAGCAGATTCATGCCACAGTGGTGGCCTCATAAGAGATGCGAAGGAGCAGATTGGAGACAGCACCAACACAAAGATACAAGAACAAGGCAATTATCACCAAGATTTAGGCTCTAGTTTTGGATTCAGAAGATTTCTTCTTCAAAGAATGGAGCAAGAAATTGAGTCTCGTGGAATCCACATCCCTTCTGCATTTCGTCACCGTAGAAGACGACATCATGAGGAAGAAGACAAGGAGGAGGAAGAAGAAGAAGATGAGATTGAAATGCTCAAGCAGAAAACCGGGAAAGATGATATAGATGTTGGGAAATTAAGACTCACCCTTTTCGATATCATTAAGGAAGACGCTAGCCCTAAAGTGAAGAAGTTCATCAAGTTTGTCTTCAACAAGCTCCAACACCATGGAGGTATGTAAAACAATAACCGAGAGAGAAAAGTTATTTGTTTTATCTCTTATGGGGTGATTTAGCATTGATTGGTTATCAAGTATCAATTTAGGTATTTAGTCCTCTAGTATTGGACAAAAATCAAGTACTTAAGTACAATTCCCAAGCATGTATTAAGTTTTTTCTAAAATAAAAATATGACTATTCAATTTCTGTATTGATTCAGCACCATATGTTTGAGAACTGTGATTTCCCCTTACCATTTCCATATTTTACTAATCAAGAGGTGAAAGTGAAAAACAAGAGGGTGGATTCTTGGAGATGGTAGGAAGTCTTGCCATAAAGTTTCTGAAACAAAAGCTGAATGAGAATGAAGAGTATGCAGAACCTGCCATGGAAACAAATGTAGCCAATAATCAAGAGGTAGTCTCAACACTCAATATCAACTTATCCATTTTTTGTCTTTAAATTAGACTGGATGTCAATCCTATCCATTAAATGTCTTTATATGAACTGTGCTATTTCCTATAGATTTATATTATGATCTGGACATGAGATGTTTTTGGTTATTTACAAGGTATATGCTGGAGCTGGAAAGGATAGGGTTGTAGGTGGGGGAATTCTGATAAGTGGGTGTCAGAGCGATCAAAAATCAGCGGATGCGAATCCTCCCGGGAATCCTGGAAAAGCCTATGGAGCTTTCAGCAACGCAATTCAGTTAATCATTCAGGAGACCGATGCTCAAGTCACTAATCAAGAACTGGTTTTGAAGGCTAGGAAGCTGCTCAAGAGTCAGGGTTTTACTCAGGAGCCTGGACTCCATTGCAGTGATCACCATCTTCATCGCACTTTTGTGTGCTAACTAAAGGATACCAAAAACGAAATCATAGTTCTAAACCGATTGAAACATATACAACCTCTTATTTTAAGTATAAGAACTAGTTGAAGATTCAATTTGATCCTTAATATAATAACACAATTTATTTTGTCTTTCATATTTATTTATTTTTTTCCCAAACTAGTCCCATTGTGATTGCCCATATGAAAAAGTTTTCATTTTGCTGCGTATAATTAACAAAAGTATTTTAGAAAAAATAACACAAATAACGCATATTTATTACAAATAACTAACTTAATTAATTTTATTAATATTTCACAAATTAGTTATTTAGCTCTTATAATAATGATTGATGGTAATATATTAACAATGAATTGTAAAGGTAGTATATAGTTGAAAGTATTGATTTGTTACAAGTATTCAATATGTGTCAGATACTCGAAGTTACTGTATTTAACGGATTGCAACACTGGCTTTGATTTGTAAATGCAAGTTTTCTTCCTTATGATAAACCTATTAATTATATCTTTATAATTATCAGTTTATAATTTGTCATTTTATTTACAGCATTATATAACATTTATAAGAAGAAATGTTGATCTCCAGATTACTTTTTGAGAAGAAAAATGCATAACAATTGACTTAATACGTTATGATTTCTGCATCCTCCTGGTAGCTTTATTTCTTATTTTAGACAATGAAAAAAGAAAAAGATGATGACACAAGTTTCATGGAAATTAACAAGAAAAGAAAATCTCACCAAAGGAACCTGAAGATTATGAAATCTTAAATCAGGATTGTTTCATATTTTAACAGGTTTTGACTAGACTTATAAATACTAACACATTTTTGTATAAATTTTTGATTTCAGATTTAATAATTTACAGTTTCCTTTCTGTGGGATTTTCTCAATTAACAAACTCAGAGAAGAAAAGAGAAAAAGAAATCATTGTAGGATATATCTTCGTCAATGGGCTCCTTTTAATTGCCCAACATAGAGAAGACATGGCAATATCAAAAATGGGCAGGTTATTTTCCATATTACGAGTAGCTCTTAAATCGGGTACATTATGATCTTGGCCTCATATGTGTTTGTGGTGAAGTTAATCTTCATTCTATTATGACTTGCTGCAATTTTCTTGTTTCAGAATGTCTAAAGGATAGCTGCCACTACCTTTTGGCTGGTCCAAGTGAGACAGATTGAGCTGTCTTGGTCTTAGTAGAATGATATTGCATGTGCTTTCACCTTTTAGCCAAAGATATTGCATATGCTTTCACTTTTTAGCCAAAATATCACCCTCATCTCATTTTATTTCTTGGCCTAACATCTCATTTTGTTTCCAAAAATGAGTGAATTAGCAATTGATTGGCTAATTTAGTTTTCAGTACTCTGAGATCAACAAATGTGCAGGTTAAGAAATTTGTACTCATTAACTTTAGAATTCTTTATGCTAGATTGGCACGACCACTAAAGAAGCAAATTGTTAGTTTACTCTTTGGAAATGCTACCGTGAACTGAAACTCTAACTTTGTTGTTTAACTCTCAACTGGCCCACATGCTATGATATCTGCATGGGTGTAGCTAGAGGTTCAGCTTACCTTCATGAAGAGTCTTGCCTCCATATTATACACGGTGATGTAAAAGCTAGTAATATTCTACTTGATCATGAGGTTACCCCTAAAATATCTAATTTTGGTTTGGCCAAATTATATGACTATAAAAAGACCCATATAAGCACTTGTGTGGCTGGGACAATGTAAGTCATCAAGACTTGAATTCCTTGTTCTTTTAGGTTGGATAAATTGTATGCATGTTTTATTTGTTTATGCTAACACTTGAATATTTTTGTTTTGATAAACTCTTAATAGTGGATATCTTGCTCCTGAGTATGCTATGCGTGGGCACCTTACAGAGAAAGCATATGTGTTTTCCTTTGGCGTTTTGGCCCTAGAGATAGTTAGTGGGAGGCCAAATTCTGATTCAAGCCTGGAAGGGGAGAAGATATATCTCCTTGAATGGGTATGTGCTACCTCTCTGTTTCCTCTTAGTATTAGGATCCATTCAGTTTCTGGAAACATTTTCAGTTGTCATACTCTATTGTGAAACATTCCTAAACAACTAAGTGGAACATGTCTAAATGCATCCAATATCAATTGAATAATACTTAAATCACTTGATGGGGATTGTGAATTGCTCCCTTTATTCTGTATAAGTTCTTATGTGTTCTCATCGTCAAATTACCCTTCCTTTACTTCATTCCATATTCTTTAGCAGTGACACTTAACATAGAGAATCTTGTCCAATCTCCAGCTCAAAGTGTTGACGAGTAAGGACATCATTTGATTCTCATCTTTCCATTTTTTGAAAACTCTATCCTTAACAGCTTAAAGGAAAAAGCATTCTATTTGTCTGTTCCAATGGTTTATGGGCCTTGGCTTAAGTAGTTTTAGTTATTTCTAGGTTGATAGACTTGGCAGCTGCATGAGAACAACTGTATAATTGGACTGGTGGATCCTAGACTATCAAAAGATTTCAATGAGGAAGAAGTAAAAAGGAATGTTGGTATATCTCTTCTGTGCACTCAAGCATCACCATCGCTAAGGCTGGCGATGTCCTGTGTCAAGGCAACGCTGTCTAGAGATATCGAAGTGAGCACTGTAACTGCAAAGCCTGGATACTTGACAGACTGGAAATTTGATGATGTGAGCAACTTCATGACTGGCAGGGCCACAAAGGGATCAACATCAGGTACAAGTCAATATAACTCATCCCCAACTAGCAGCACAGTTAGTGGTCCAACCAAATCACCTGGAGATGCTTCTAAGCCCATCCTTCATCGCATTTTTGGCAAAGGTAGATGAGAATTGATTGATCATGCGTGTTCTCATTTTGATTCCTAATTCCTATGAACAATATCCACAAGAGATGAAGAGAATGAGGTTGTGCTCCTACATTCTGTCTTCAATCTTCTTTTTGGATAAAAGTGTATCGGGTAGTACCATGATATTACTTGCCAGGAGCATCCTGATCTTTTTTTTTTTTCCTCTTATTGCATCAAACATCCTAATCTTTTTCTTTTTTATTGCATCAAGCTCCATAATCTTATATTTAGTACATCCAGCACTGTGAAAATTAGGGTGCTAGATGTAACTGAAAAAACCACATCAAGATACTAGATGCATTGAGAAAATAAGATTAGAATACTGAAAATACACCTGAAAAATAAAATGAAGGTGCACCATTACCCCTTTTCTCCTTCCTTTTATTATTTATATCATACCCTCTACTTTGGAATGTATCGTCAGAATGTTTAGTCTCTTTATTTGTGACTTCATCCCTCATTTGTGGGTAAATAAAAAAATTTCACTGATTAATATCGATATAAAGTTTTTGACAAATACTATTTGTAAGCTATAAAATATTATTCATTTCTCAGGCTTTGTAATATTATATAAAAAAGGAAAAATTTATTATTTGATCCTTATACTTGTGATGTAATAGTGACTTAGTCTTTGAACTTTAGATCATATCATTGCATCTAGTTTAGTAATTTAAAAGAGTTTCCGAACTCTATGAAATAATTTTATTTTTTTTAAATGTAGGAACCAACATTTTATTATGTAATAATAACGTGAAAACTCTGCAATATATATGCTTTTATCCGGAAAATTTTTTATCATTATTTAATGTAAACTGCATTATATAACAATTTTATTCATTGTTAATTAACAATCACTTAAATTTTGAAATGTCTTGAGTGGATAAAATGTCATTTTATCAGAATAAAAAAAATATCACGCAAAACTACCAGGGAAAAAAGGGCAGCAATAGAATTTGAGATGGGTTGTGAATTCAACCAAAGGGCAATTCTCTTGAACAAATTTGAGATTTATGCTATATTTGGTTCAATAAAAGGGGAGAGAGATTTTTATGGGAGACATTTTAGCATTTTGTGAGAAGTGTCAATATCTCTCTTGACATTGCAATGACATTTTACGATTTCATAGCAAGTGTGAATATCTCTCTTTGGAGACACTTAATTTGGCTTAATAGAGAGGAAGAGAGGATCTTTTAGTTGGTTTAATCAAAGGGGAAGGGAGGTGGAAGATATTAAGGATTATTTGAGAATTTAACTTTATTAGAAGGATAATATTAAAAATAGTTAACTAGAAATCTATTCTCTGAAGGCCTCCATTTTTGAAGGAGAGGGAGGGAAGTGGAGTCATCAAAAAATATTCAACAAAAGAAATGGGATGAACTTTTATTAATTTTATCAGCTAAAAGTTTAAAGTTGGATTACAAAATAGTTTATTAAATGTAAATATCCTAATGTGACTGTGGGATTGATTAAAGAAGCAGAATTTTTCATGGGTATTAGTTACAAAACAGTAATAATCCTGTACATCAAGGAATCCTTTTTCAGCAGGAAATTAGAGAACCCAGATGCCTATTATATCTTTGACTCCGATCATTATTTGATGGTAACTATCTTTTTATTATATCAAGTCAAGCACATCAAGGAGTCTGCTGCAATGGCCAATCAGCGTTTTGATTTTCAATGAGCTTAAAGCCTAATAGAAATAATTCTCAAGTCAGGTTTCAAAGAGCACTTGCATAAGGCATACAAATATAAATTTTAGATTGCAATTTTTAAGTAAAAAACCAAAATTTGAAAGGTTAATTATTACAAAAGACTACTTTTATTATTTATTATGTTAATTTTAAAAAGGAAAAATTATTTCTCTTAATTTTTAATTTGATATAATTTTGCACCATTAACTACTGTACATAGGTTAGCAAAATTATAGCGACTAACTGTGCTACAAAGTAAAATTAAAGAACTTAATTACAAAAATCAGACAAGAACTAAATTAAAAATTGAGGATAAGTATTAAAAAAAATGCCAAAAGGTTTCGCCTCTCAACAAACTAAAATACAAAAATTTAAAATTCTATTGTGTTCAATTTATCAAAGTAAGGTGTCCTCAATATCCAAATCCTTCTGAAAAATGTTAACATGTGTGCACTAAAAACAATTGGACAATCATAACAATACAAATATGTATAGGATTGAAGAGTTTACTGCAACATTGTCATCACCTATTAAAATCCTTTCGAACTCTTTTTTACTGTTAACTGAACACTCAATCCAGAGTTCCGTCAGCTCTTCATTGTTGCACTAATGGCAGAGGTCAGGGTACTCTTGGATACTGACGTTGGAGCATTCATTGCACCTGATCGCTTTGATATGCTCAAGCGTCATTGCTCTCTCTTTCTCTCAATGCTTGAATTCACTACTAGCTACTTCCTATAAACATCAAACCAAAGTTGGCTTCTTTACTTACCAGCTAAGCTAACCCCCACAATTTCTCTCGATTGTTAGCTTTGTTATCATAATTCTTGCTCCTTAAAGTTACCATTAATCCAAGGAAATTGTTCCGTACTCCAGCTCTTCTTTCCAGCAGCCTGGCATAGACGTTAACATTAAAGAGCCTAGTTATACTGTATGATTGTTTCTCACTACTGCCTGTATTTTCATTTCTAGTTAAACAGACATGCTTTCATGAATTATTTAGGTGGTTCCTGCCCATAAACGTTCTTCCCTCTTTTACCATTCGGAAGGTATTTGGGTTGGGGTGCTGGTGTGCAGTGCAGGCAGCTTCACTTGTTGGTTTGCAATTGTCAGCACACGTGCTTGTCTATATTTGCTAAAATTTTATGTTCTGATGTTATGATTGAATGAAACAAACAGAACAATCTATATTTTTTTCTCATGACCTAACAGCATAATACTTTATTCAGTGCGGAAGAATAAGGGATGATAAGATTAATATAATCAAAATATTACTAAGGCCATTTAAAGTTGGTAACGGCACACACAACCATCGAACAAAAAGATCCAAAATCCCAAGGGGACTAAAATGATCCTAATATACGATTGATGTATAATATGGCCCCTTCAACACCGATCTTCCCTACGCCGGACATACCTATTTCTATCATTGTATCTTGGTCTATCCTGGTGTCTCTACGGCTGCGACTCCACCCTTCTCTGTCTTTCAGGTGATCTCTGCACGATCTCCCTATTCACAAATAATTCAGCTACATCAAATTAGCTCGAAAACTCAATTAATCAGGGTATTAGGATGAAAGAAAGCCATCATCAATGGACCACCTTCACATGTAGTATGAATGCATGCTTGCACATAAAGCTTAAAGAAATATTGTAGCACAACCATTCCAATTTTCAAAGGACATAAAATTAATAAATATCATTACTGTTGCCATGGAAAAAGGATCGTACAGAGAAGGACTTGATGTCATACCGCCTCTAGTCCCTAATATAAGAACCAGTTAGGGATTGAATTTTGCCTTAAATATAAGATATCAATTCACTTTATCTCTTATCTTTCCCAAAAATATTCCTATTGATTATAAAAAGCTCCCACCAAGAGATAATTCGAATAATCCAATACATATGATTGATGAGGATAGCTTGGGGAGACCAACACACATTTGTGACAAATAATTAACCTAGCAAATTTTCTTAATATCCTCAAATTAGTTATCTAGCTCTTATATTAAGTAGAGGTAGTATAATGTATCTGCTCCAATGATTAGGAAACTCAATAGGTTGGCATTGTGACAGAATAAGATGAGCGCCAACTTTCATGGGAGTCCATTAGCATTCAAAGCTATTAGTTTTGCCATAATAGATTGCTGACAAGGAGGCAAAGCAAATTAAGAGCTTACAACATTGTCAAAGATTTCGATATTATGTGGGGGTACAAGGTCCTTGCATTCGTAGCTGATAACTGAGATTAAAATCAAACAACTTAAAATGCCCCAGCACGACTATGGAAAGAAAAATAGAATAGAGGCATTTATTTCTGATTAACAGCAGCATTTACATTGTGTCATGAACTGCTATCAAAATATCTCATCCAAATGAAATAACAAGAATAAATTTAATATTCAATCCAGTTTGTAACAACTATAGGCATAGCAAAGTATTAGTAACAGGGGAAAACAGATTCGAAGGGAAGGAAAGAAGAAAGCCACAGAGAGAGATTTCCCAGGAATGGGACCAGAGACAAAATCAAACAAATCATCCACATCCTTTTTCCATTAAGCCTCTTCTCTTGATATCTTCACTCACTTTCACCTAACTTTGTAACCACCTCATCACATGCATGTGCACACTCCACTCACTTCACACACGTGATATTCATTATTCATCCATTTGGTCTTCCTTTCATATACCATGACACGTTTTAAATGAACAATCACTCCAAAAAAAAAAAGAACATGATTGAAAAATCAAAATTATCAGGAAGAGAAAAGAATGAAACAGAAGTGGAATTATCAGATTGAACCTGGCTGGTATTCTTCTAAAACACAAGAAAGCTTTTTAATACTTACCGCCATCATCCTCATTCTCTGGGTCAATGTATGAATCAGGGAGGACAAACAGTACGTCGGGCAACCCTATTGACCGAAAAGAAAACGATACATACAAATGTGAGAAATAAAGAAAAACTAAGGTCCTGAACATGCATACAGAGACAAATATTGAAGCAACTCTGCAAGAAACCTTCTAGTTTATTAGATGTCTCCTCGTCAATATCACCCCCAAATCCAAAGTAACTCTCACAAGAAACATTATAAATCCTCTTATTAGCTTCTGCTTCACTGAAAAATGAGAAGAATTGAGAATCAGGTGCAGTGAATAATGAAAAGTCAAGACGAAAATTTTCATTTTCTAAAGCAACGCAGCAAACAAATCAGTATACCTTCTGACAACCTTAGCAAGAGTTTGTATATAACAATCAATCATATGTTGTTTGGTAGCACCCTCTCTACCTGGATTGTCCATGACAATGAGTCAGTGCTCATAGTCACAACCGGGAAATAGTGGGGCTATCTCTGTGGGCAGTCGGTCACTGAAGTTGGAGCCCTAGTTGAGAGGCGAGTGGGTCGAGTTGCCGAACCGATTGATGCGGCATCGAACAGCAATGAAACGAACCAGAGCGAGCGAGCGCAATGCTTGAGAAAGTGGGTTGACAGATCTGCGAGCAGGGAGAGTGTTTGGAATAAGAGGGGATCAGGTGATGGACATGGTAGTGGTAGAGATAAGGTGTCTGGGAAGGAAGGCAGATAGGTAAGTAGAAGAAGAGCAAGAAGCTCGTGCTAAGGCGAGCGCCATTTCTAGAGGAAGAGGATGATCAGATAGGGTTTTGCTACCTTGCCTTTGGCCAGTCTCCTTTTCTCACGGTCGGCCACAAAATGCAGGGACTCTCCCAGTGAAGATTCGAACCTTGATTCGTCACATGGGTATCTGGGTACCTCTCCTAGTAAAGATTTAAACCTTAGTTAGTCACATTGTGAGAAATTAATCCCTTCCGCTAGATCCAATCACGGTTGGTCTTTTCTTTATTAGTTTCTTTCAGTTGTAAGTATTGGTTCACATACTAGTAAATCGTAATCCATTAATCATGACTGATTAAGTGGCATATAAATTGTCACAAAAAAATTTAAAAATAAAATATATTTATTATCATCATAATAAAAAATTAGGCTAAAGTATTGTCCTTTAACTTCATATAAAGTTTTAATTTAGTCTCTTAACTTTAACATGTATATTTTAGCTCTTTAACCCTAAAATCATTAAACTTAAATTATGATTTTTGTTAACAATGATGGTCATTTTAAAAATTAAACTTATATATGAGTATTTGAGAATATTTTATTAATATTTAATATTTCAAAATTAATAGATAAAATTAAAATTATGTATAAAATTAAAAAACTAAATAGATATTTTAGTTAAAAATTATTATAATAAAAATGGAGGCAAACAAGTTGAACGCTCTTTCCTTTGAGGGTAAGATTTTATGAATTGGCCATTCTATTGGGTTGAGATGCAAATATAAGAAGACTATGGCCATAATATCTTTGGCTTTAATATTCTCTTTTTTGGTTCATTTTGTCCCTTTTTTTTACTGGAAGTTCATTTTGTCCATTTAAAAAAACGAAGAAAATTAAGTTACATGTAATTCCTTAAAAAAAAATTCACTAGTACTCCCTCTAGTCCATCTGAGTTGAGAGTTGAGTAGGCCAATTGTTGGATCAGTTGCAGTGGCATCAGATGATAGTAAAAGAACTGAAGCAAGCAAGTGCAATGCTTGAGATAACAGATTAAGAGATCTACAAGGAAGAAGGATGGTTGGGATAAGAGGGGATTGAGTGATAGATATGGAAGTAGCAAAGAGAAGATGACTCGCAAGGAAGAAACAGAGGGAAGCAAAGAAGGGCAAGAAGCTCGAGCTAGGGCGAATGCCATTCCCAATAAAAAGGATGATCAAATAAGGTTTTGTGGCCTTGTGTTCAGATTGTCTCCCTTTCTTTTCTTTATGGGATATCCCCCCTTCTTGTTTAAAAAAAAAAAAATAGCTGAGTTGGGTTCTAGACTCACAGGGTTAGGGCAAGGCATACTTAGAGATGTACTTGTAGATTGTTCACTAATAAGGTCTTCACATTGATAACAATATCTAAAATTACGACCTTATAGATTCTGAGCTGGCTTTTTACCAATAAAACTAACTATTGTTGGCAATTTTTTTTTTTTATAACAAGATAAGTTCATTAAAACACAATTAAAATGGGCTACAACATATTGGGCCACTTTACATGATTACTAGAGTTTAAGCACATTGTAGCCCAATCCTAAAGAGGAGAACAAAAGAAATAGAAGAAAACATTGTTATATATATTCAAAAATGCATCAAGTAACCAATAAGAGTTGGTTCAATTGATAAGAAATCAGCTCATAACTCACAAGATCGTGAGTTCAAATCTCCCTGCCATGTGAAGACCTTGTTGGTAAACAATCTATAAGTACCTCTGTAAGCACTCTCTTAGTCTAGAAGCATGCCTGGCCCTAGTAAGTTTTCAGGATCCAAATCACCTAAACTTTCTTGTAGCGAAAAAAAAAAAGAGCATCAAGTCACTAAGCAAAACAAAAATAAAACCACAAATTGAACCTAATAATTCAACAAATTTGTTTCGATTCTGTTAGATAATTGATTTTATTTAAAATAATAATAATTTGCTAATCCTTTTCAGTTTTCCCCCAATTATTAGTTCCTATGCTTACAAATCATGATCCACTAATCATGACTAATGTAAACGATGATTGAGCGGCATATAATTTGTCACAAAATATGAAATAAAAAATCAAAAAAATATTTTTTATCATCATAATAAAAAATTATTATACTCATGAATTTAAAAAAAAAAGGGACACGTCGTGCGCTCTTACCTTCAAGTCTGTGGATGAGATTTTATTGATTGGGCTCTCTACTGGGCTGAGATACAAAGACAAAGAGGACCGTGGCCCATAATGTCTCGGGCTTCTATATTTTTCATTTTTATTTATTTTGTCCATTTTTTTAAAAAAAATTAAGGTTAATACAAATTTTGGTCCTTCATATTTGCCTTCATTTTGATTTTGTTCTATCAAGTTTCGGACTATAGGTTTTAGTTCCTCAGGGGACAAAATGGTCTAAGTTTTTATTGGATTATAGGACTAATATTATTAATAAAAAACACTTGAGGGACCAAAATCTATAATTTGAAATTTGAGATACCAAAACTAAAATAACAGCAAACTTAAGAGACTGGAGTTTGTATTGACCCAAAAAATTAAGTCACATTCAATTCGTTATAATAGTGTTTTCTAGTAGCACCTAATATCCTAAAATTTGTATTAGTGCATTCCCTACTTTAAAATACTTTTTCAGCAGTATTTAACATCCTAAATTTTTTTTTCAAAATTCCAACGAGTCTACTTAACTATGCCAAAATTCAGTTACAATATGTCTAGTAAAATCTTGAAATACAATAACACCCCCTTTGAGAAGCCACTGTAAATCATCAACGTGGGCTCATATTCAGAATTCTGAAAATAACCAGCGAGAAAAAAAAAATCTCAATGAAGGACTAAGATGATCTATTATTTGGTTTCCCAAAGGCCTGTTTGATTTCGAGGAAGGGACAAAAAGAAAAAAAAGATAGGGTGGAAAAGTTTTAACCTTATCTTATTTGGTTTGATTAAAAAAAGAGGGGAGGAATATTTAATGATCCCTTATTTAGTTCAAGAAAGAAGGAATGGATAATAATAATTAATTTACCCTTTTACCCTTACGTGTTAGTTTGTATTTTTATTTATATGTTATATAGAATTAATTTATAGCTTAATTAACATTATATAATTTAATGAAAATCCAGTCTTGTCATATTAATATGTGTATTAACAAATCAGCACAATAATTTTTTACTCTAATTAATATGATAATATATTTAAATAATCAAATTAACAAATTTTATATGCTTTAAAAATGAAATTTTTGTTTTTTTTACTATGCTTTTTCTTCTAGATTTAAACATATTTTAATTCATAAAATAATATATTTTTAAAAAATTAATTAAAATTTAATAATATTTTGTAATAATATTTTTTATTTTAAATTAAATTTTGTCATGATATATTTTTTAAAGTATAATAATATTTTTTTTTTTCTTTTTTACTTATAATAATATATTTTATTTGAAATAAATTTTATAATAATATTTTATGGGTACAAATAGAATATTACAAAAAATATAGGGATAAAATAGTCCAAAAATTTAACTTCCCTCCAAAAATCCCCAATTTGGAGGGAAGATAAAATGGAGGTAAGGAGGAACCCTCTAAAATTTCTAACTAAATGAAGGGAGGGACTCATTTTTCCTCCAATCCACCAAACATGTCCTAAAACAATTGGCATCATAATGAGAATAAAACAACCTTAAAAAAAATCATATTTGTATTTTAAAAGTATTTTAAGAAGATCAAGTAATATTTATTATAATTAAGTAATTCAACTAATTTTTTTAAATTTAGCCAATTTAATTAAGTAATTTTTATATTTAAATACAGGAGGAAGATCTCATTGTATCCCATTCAAGTTGCGTACCCAAAGTTTTCCGTTGTGCCCTGCCCATTTCCATGCTTGCTTGACTAACGAGTATTGAAAACAAAGAAAGTTTCACTAATCATCTCTCCACAATCTCTTCCTTTTAAGGAAATATACCGTGCCATTAAATTAAGAAGTTATTGACTTGTTTGGAACCGTAGGTTTGCATGGTTCATTGGAATCACATCTCAAATTATTGAAATAAAAAGAAAAAGACCAAAAAGGCATCTAATATCATGATGTTATTTTTTACACACATCTAACACCCTAATCTCGTTTAGGGTTCATTTAGTACTATTATGATCTTTAATGTAGGACCTAATTATGCAGTTGATTTTAGTTTTAAATATAAGACTTACTTCTCATATTTATTATTTTTTGAATTACTCTTATTGATACTCTCTCACCTATAATCAAGTAGAAGAGGGAATTATGGAGAATATTGAAGAAGATGATTAACGTATTCTTAAAAAAACATGTAATATATTTATTATAATTAACTAACTTCCTAACTTTCTTAATATAATCAAATTAGTTAGATAGGTACTATATAGCCATCAATTGCATTGAAGTTTTTGCGACCGAAGAACATCTTCCTATGATAGAATTACCTCCTTAAGCACCAAACTTCCACAACATGTTCTGCTTCTCCTTTCCTTGTTCAAAGTTCAAACCATCAATTCTAGTTAACAGCTGTCCCTAGCGTTTACCCACAAGTCCCCAGTCTTCCTTGGTCCACTTGATTACTGCTAGTAGCAAATGAATCTATCAACATTTTCTTTCCAACCGCCCTCCTTACTCCACGTATCTCTGATAAATAAATCATTCAAAGCCATAATGGATCAGGGGACCCATGATGTCACAAACTGATCGAAAAGGACATCAAACTTCCGTTATTATTGTAATAGTTTGGTCCATGGAGAAATCAATTGTTTTGATTAGAAAGCAGTAAATTTTTTCTACGTAAATGTCACTGTTCACCTATGAATTAAAGTTTCAAGTTCTATAAAATTAGAATAAGTTGAGTTTGTCATTGACAAGATTCCATGCTAATTTTTTCAGCATCTTATATCTAAATATCACAAACTTTAATAATAACATTGATTCTTGAAAATAATTTCGACTCAACATTCAAATTCTTGGACATACTATTGATTCTTAAAAATAATTACGACTTAACATTCAAATTCTTCAATATGCTTTCCCTTTAATCAATATAAGGGAGCATGAATTAATGTTCCAAGTGATTATAAATCGAATTGGGTTGGGAGGTTATCACAGTCAATTGCTTCGGTCTCTACCTCTTGGTAAAAAATTTTCTATTTCCTTAAATGAAAATTTAGTCCAATCATTTACCATGTGATTACTATGCACACCATTTATTGAATGTTGAAAGACTTAAGACAATTAATTGTGCGATTTTTAATTATTGACAAAATTGTAACTAGTTTCAAATATTAAAATTACTATAAAATTTACGGAAATTTGATAGATATATTATTATACAAATGATTAAAAATAAAAAAAAATATTTAAATTGATCGTAACTATTCTAAATTTTGATGGTAAAAACTAAATATGAGTAGTTAATAAATTTGAAACTAAAAAAAAAATTAACGGTGTTTCATTTTACTTAACTGTTGGGACTAAGGGATCCAATAATAGAAAATTAAAGGACTCAATAAAGGAAAAATAAAATTCAAAATTGAAGATAATTATAAAGATTTCCAAATTAGTTTTCCCTAAAAAGAAAAAGAGTAAAAAGGCATCTAATATCATGATGTTATTTCTTACATACATCTAACACTCTAATCTCGTTTAGGGTTCATTTAGTACTCCTTTGATCCTTAATGTAGGATTTAATTATGGAATTGATTTTGGTCTTAAATTTAAGACTTATTTATCCTATTTATCATTTTTTTAAATTACTTTTATTGATACTCTATCATCTATAATCAACTAGAAGAGAGAATTATGGAGGATATTAAAGAAGATGATTAGGGTATTCAAAAAAAATATGTAGTATATTTATTATAATTAACTAACTTTTTAATTTTCTTAATATAATCAAATTAGTTAGATAGTATTATGCAGCCATCAATTGCATTGAAGTTTTTGCGACCGAAGAACATCTTCCTATGATAGAATTACCTCCTTAAGCACCAAACTTCCACAACATGTTCTGCTTCTCCTTTCCTTGTTCAAAGTTCAAACCATCAATTCTAGTTAACAGCTGTCCCTAGCGTTTACCCACAAGTCCCCAGTCTTCCTTGGTCCACTTGATTACTGCTAGTAGCAAATGAATCTATCAACATTTTCTTTCCAACCGCCCTCCTTACTCCACGTATCTCTGATAAATAAATCATTCAAAGCCATAATGGATCAGGGGACCCATGATGTCACAAACTGATCGAAAAGGACATCAAACTTCCGTTATTATTGTAATAGTTTGGTCCATGGAGAAATCAATTGTTTTGATTAGAAAGCAGTAAATTTTTTCTACGTAAATGTCACTGTTCACCTATGAATTAAAGTTTCAAGTTCTATAAAATTAGAATAAGTTGAGTTTGTCATTGACAAGATTCCATGCTAATTTTTTCAGCATCTTATATCTAAATGTCACAAACTTTAATAATAACATTGATTCTTGAAAATAATTTCGACTCAACATTCAAATTCTTGGACATACTATTGATTCTTAAAAATAATTACGACTTAACATTCAAATTCTTCAATATGCTTTCCCTTTAATCAATATAAAGGGAGCATGAATTAATGTTCCAAGTGATTATAAATCGAATTGGGTTGGGAGGTTATCACAGTCAATTGCTTCGGTCTCTACCTCTTGGTAAAAAATTTTCTATTTCCTTAAATGAAAATTTAGTCCAATCATTTACCATGTGATTACTATGCACACCATTTATTGAATGTTGAAAGACTTAAGACAATTAATTGTGCGATTTTTAATTATTGACAAAATTGTAACTAGTTTCAAATATTAAAATTACTATAAAATTTACGGAAATTTGATAGATATATTATTATACAAATGATTAAAATAAAAAAATATTTAAATTGATCGTAACTATTCTAAATTTTGATGGTAAAACTAAATATGAGTAGTTAATAAATTTGAAACTAAAAAAAAAATTAACGGTGTTTCATTTTACTTAACTGTTGGGACCAACGGATCCAATAATAGAAAATTAAAGGACTCAATAAAGGAAAAATAAAATTCAAAATTGAAGATAATTATAAAGATTTCCAAATTAGTTTTCCCTAAAAAGAAAAAGAGTAAAAAGGAATCTAATATCATGATGTTATTTCTTACATACATCTAACACTCTAATCTCGTTTAGGGTTCATTTAGTGCTCCTTTGATCCTTAATGTAGGATTAATTATGGAATTGATTTTGGTCTTAAATTTAAGACTTATTTATCCTATTTATCATTTTTTTAAATTACTTTATTGATACTCTATCATCTATAATCAACTAGAAGAGAGAATTATGGAGGATATTAAAGAAGATGATTAGGGTATTCAAAAAAAATATGTAGTATATTTATTATAATTAACTAACTTTTAACTTTCTTAATATAATCAAATTAGTTAGACAGTATTATGCAGCCATCAATTGCATTAAGTTTTTGTGACCGAAGAACATCTTCCTATGATAGAATTACCTCCTTAAGCACCAAACTTCCACAACATGTTCTGCTTCTCCTTTCCTTGTTCAAAGTTCAAACCATCAATTCTAGTTAACAGCTGTCCCTAGCGTTTACCCACAAGTCCCCAGTCTTCCTTGGTCCACTTGATTACTGCTAGTAGCAAATGAATCTATCAACATTTTCTTTCCAACCGCCCTCCTTACTCCACGTATCTCTGATAAATAAATCATTCAAAGCCATAATGGATCAGGGGACCCATGATGTCACAAACTGATCGAAAAGGACATCAAACTTCCGTTATTATTGTAATAGTTTGGTCCATTGAGAAGGCAATTGTTTTGATTAGAAAGCAGTAATTTTTTCTAGGTAAATGTCGCTGTTCACCGACGAATTAAAGTTTCAAGTTCCCTAAAATTAGAATAAGTTGAGTTTGTCATTGAGAAGATTCCATGCTAATTTTTTCAGCATCTTATATCTAAATGTCACAAACTTTAATAATAACATTGATTCTCAAAAATAATTTCGACTCAACATTCAAATTCTTGGACATACTATTGATTCTTAAAAATAATTACGACTTAACATTCAAATTCTTCAATATGCTTTCCCTTTAATCAATATAAAGGGAGCATGAATTAATGTTCCAAGTGATTATAAATCGAATTGGGTTGGGAGGTTATCACAGTCAATTGCTTCGGTCTCTATCTCTTGGTGAAAATATTTCTATTTCCTTAAATGAAAATTTAGTCCAATCATTTACCATGTGATTACTATGCACACTATTTATTGAATATTGAAAGACTTAAGACAATTAATTGTGCGATTTTTAATTATTGACAAAATTGTAACTAGTTTCAAATATTAAAATTACTATAAAATTTACGGAAATTTGATAGATATATTATTATACAAATGATTACAAATAAAATATATATTTAAATTGATCGTAACTATTCTAAATTTTGATGGTAAAACTAAATATGAGTAGTTAATAAATTTGAAACTAAAAAAAAAAATTAATTCAGAAGCCATCTGAATGTCAATTTATAAGTCCCATCTAATTACCTAATAGAATTAAGAAAAGGTTATTCAGTTGTTAACTTTGCCTGATATGAATTTTTTCCTTTTGAATCATATTTACTAGCATAGAAAAACACGCCATTAGACTTCAGACTTTAGGAGGTTGCACATTGATGATCCTGCCAATATATGGTGTTGTAATATTCCACGTGGCTTTTGTGCTTTTGAGAACGTGGTCAGAGACTCGGCTCCTGGTCTGTGGATGTATATGTATACGCATGTACTAACATATAGATATTCTGCAAAATCCTTAGAGCAATCCCCGTATGTATATCCATTTTGATATCTCTGAATCTCTATTAGTTTGTTGTGCTTCTGAATTATAGCAAGCTATATATCTTACAATTGCGTGCGCGCACACACATCCATGTCTCTGTCGTCTCCTTCTCCTTCTTCTGCTTCACCGGTCTTGGTTTTTGCAATTGCTTCCGCTTTTTATGTGTGCTTGGCTGGGGTAGTACAAGCTCAAATCCCTCCTACAGATCCTTCCGAAGGTATCTACGTGCTTTCACTAATAGATACTTCTCTCTTAATAATCTGTCTCCTATATATCCAGTGGACGGTGAATTATTATTAACATTTAATTAATAATTTGGGTAGCGAAAGCTTTGAATTCAATCTTCAACAAATGGAATATATCGCCAGTAGAAACTGTATGGAATATAAGCGGCGAGATATGCAGCGGACAAGCCGTCAACAACGCTACCTCCATTGATGATTTCTTCAGTCCATTTATCAAATGCGACTGTTCCAGTGGCACCACTTGCCACATTTATGCACTGTCCGTATAATTTGATGTCTCTCTACTTAGCTTGATTTTTCTTCATCATGTTGTTAATTACTTATTGCCTATATATATATATATATATATATATTGTTGATCTTGTTCTGGCAGGAGTCTTTATCAACAGGACGTTGTTGGCCAAATCCCACCAGAGCTGTGGACTTTCACTCACCTCACCTATTTGTATGTTTTTTTTTAATTATCTCCTCCTCAGTGGCTTCTCCAGAAACTTAAAAGCATCCATATGCTTCATATTTATTATTATTATTATTTTGGATACATGCTTCATATTTATTCTAATGTTTCCTCAAATTAAATGGCCATTATCAGGAACCTAAGCAGGAATTACTTGACGGGTTCTGTAGCTCCAGCCATCGGAAATCTAAGTCGGCTGCAGTCCTTGTAAGGCCAATTAGTCAGAAAGTTATAATGCTTCCTGTGCCTAGGGATCCTCTCAGTTTCCGTTCGGGAAAAGATGGTCATTTTGAGGAAATTTATTAATGTTCAATGAATTTGGATATACCTACAGTTTTAATGTGTTGATAATATTAAATTAAAAAATTAAATCAACTAATTCCTATATTTATGAGTCATTTATCAAATTTTAATTGTAGCTAACTTGGTCTTTACAATTTTAACTCAATTAAAACTTAATTTATGAACTTTGACTTGGTGCAACTCATTTATCATGATTTTAGCCCGAGATAAAATGCTTAAATACTCTGGAAGTATCTACGAAGGAGCACCAGTGCCTGAAATTTTTTTTTTTCCTCTTATATGCCCTAGAAGTTTTATTTCATTGCAAAAATATCCAGGTTGTTATTCACCTTTGAATTTGATTGTAAAATTATGCGGTTTAACTAATGCTTTTAACAGTTAAACTTAACAACGGATAATGGTACATATCAAAAATGCTATGAAAATAAACTTTTAGAGCATATAACAGCCAAAAAAAATTTCAAGTACTTGGTGCTCTTCTATGAATATTTTTGGGGTGTTAAGCACCTTATGCCTTTTATCTATTTAAAATGTTGGCCCCATATTTTTGAAAGTAAACTAAAGTTATATATCTTTTGAAATGTAGGACTATTGTTTTAAATGATTAAAATTATTTAGGGACTAAGTTCTACTAAGGTAAAGTTCAGACAATAAGTTTTAACTAAGACAAACAAAAATTAAGCAACTGAATTTCAATCAAATCAAAATTATAAGAATCAAATAATTAATTTTCTTAAGAAAAAACTTAGACTGTTGGTATCAATATGATGGAAAGACTTGTTCAAAATGACTCATGTTCCTATCTTAAATAGATAGAATCCGGAACTTGCTTGTTGTCAGTCATGATACATCCTCAGGAACTTACTTGCATTTTTATATGAATTTCTCGCAATTAGGGGTTTGGGTGACAATGCTCTATCTGGGAAGCTTCCAAAGGAACTGGGAAGTCTTACTGAGTTAGTATCATTGTATGTTATCCTCTTTCCCTTAATTATAACAATTTTCCATAGATTATGATTGCATCATTTTATTTACAAATAGTACTTAATATAAGATCTAGTTTGTATGTTAAAATCTGTTGGATTTTGGGCTTAGATTAGCTCTTGATAGGCCGGATTATTTGATTAGATGTTAGAGAATATTCCAATCAAATATTTCAAGGAAGATTATAATTAGTTTGACTAGGTTAAATAATTTGAATTGCAAATCTAGTCTTATAATATAAGTTAAATTAATTTATATTGTTCAAATTAAATATATATTAGAGAAATATATATATGTTGAGTTCTCCGACTATCTCTCCTTCTTCTCTAATATTCTCTTTTGTGCAGTACTCTGCTGTGCCACTCAAATTTGGGTTCTAGTAGTCTAAATTTTGTGTGAATCGGTAGATCAACTTGTAGAGCTTTAAAGGAATGATCTAGATCCGACCTGATACGTGCTTCCTAGTTTATATTTAATTTCTCTAACAAAATCGAAGGAAGCTAGTATTTGTTTTCTTGATATTAATGAATTACAATAAGTAATAACTAGGAGTTAATCAAAGACCATCGTGTTTAAGAAGATAATGTTTTTTATGGAAAATATATATTGATGAACGATGATACTATCAGCATCCACTTTATTCTTTGCGAATTAATTATGCAGGAGTCTTGGAACAAACAACTTCTCAGGTCCTATCCCTTCCAAACTAGGCAATCTAGTGAAATTGAAAGAACTGTAAGTTCCACTAGTCTTTTATCCACATATCTATGTCTTTTAAGGTAATATAATGTTTGGCACGAGGGAAATGGAGGGGAGAGAAAAGGAAGGAAAATATTAATAAGCTCTATTTAAGAAATTAAAGAAGTGGGTTTTAAAATTTTAATAAAGAGAAGAAGTAATACAAACGAATAATAAAAATTAGTTAAAAGCTTTTAACCCCATTTTTTTTAATTGTTTAAATCGAGCTTATTAAAATATTTCCTCTCCTCCCCTTTTCTCATTTTCCTTTATATCAAATGAACCCTAAATTGAGTAAACCAGTAAAAATATGCAGATTTTATACCGGTTTGACTAGTTATAAACCAGTTCAAACTGGTTCTTAGTCCTCTTATCAATTCATAATCGGGCACTAAGCTGGTTTCCAATTCAATTCTGTCAAATTCATTCAATTTAGCATGTTTTTTATTTCATGTGAATGGAATCAATTGATTGCCGTCGAGCCTCCTTAGTGGCAAATAGGGTGAGTGTGTAGCGCTTGTGACTCGTTAACAAAGATGAAGAAGAGAAACGGTATTTATGAGCTGTCAAATAAATCCAGGTGGCACATGTTAATTAGAAAACTGGACAGATTAGATATAATAGAATAGATGTAAGTTTTGTCCAAAACTTTGATGAGATTTAGACCATTTAAATCTAATTTAAGCGGTCCAAATTCAAAAACTTTTTATTCGTGATTTTTTAAATGATAGATTATTTTTTTGAAAAGTGATAGTTATAAGATTTTTTTTATTTTAAATTTTACATATATTAATTAAATTATTAAATTTGGACCGTCCAATTGGACTGTCCAGATGAGTGATGAGCACAAGATGTGCTCTGGTTTCAGTTTTAAAGATGTTCTTTTAATAAGCTAAAATTTCCAAAAACAAAAAAATAATAGCATAGTTAAAATAATTATTTAACACAATTGTTAAAATTGAATATTATAGAAAATTTCCTTTGTCGGCTAAAAAAAAAAATATGGGCATTAAGCAGATGCAATTGATGATATTAACCTAAATATTTATTATTTAGTAAAAGCAAAAAAAATACATTTACAAGAATAAATAAAAATGTAAAATTAATGAAACTAACAATATATGTATAAATCAATTAAACATATAATGTTAACAAATAACAATATTATGAAATTTAATATATATGAAAAGTAGTATAAACTTATATATATATATATATATATATATATAACATTAATTTTGTGTGATCCAAAGATCTTATAAATTTCAATGAATATTTCTCTGCAGCCTCCTAGATAGTACGGGATTTAGTGGTCCGATTCCTTCAACTCTGGCTAATCTTAAAAACCTGGAAATGCTGTAAGATATCCATACTACCTTTTTTTTTTTTTTTGCCCTGGCATTCAATAACTAAAATTTTTCCTGTTTGTCCAGATGGGTTACAGACTTGGAGCACGCAGGAAGTATACCTGACTTCATAGGAAGTTTGTCTAACCTTACAGACTTGTAAGACTACGCTGGGTCTTTAGTATTAAAATATGGCTTTAGGAGGACTCCTTCTGTTATAGTATTTTCTTTCATCATTAAGGAAAAGTTATCAATGTCTCAAGGTGAATGGGTACTCACTGAATAGACTTGCTTTGGTAGGAGGCTCCAGTGTAATTCTTTCCAAGGCTCAATACCATCATCATTGGGCAATTTGACTTCTCTTAGGAAGCTGTAAGCACCATAACTATTTGATTGCACTCTGCAGATTGATACGTAGGAGTAAATTGTTGAATAATGCATAACTCATCAAATGTAGGAAATAACTAGCATGCATAATGGGAGTTCCTCGTTGGCATTTATAAAGAGTTTGAAGTCTGCCACCTCGATGTAAGTTGTGAGGCAATGGCTCCCCTCATAATTCACAGTTTGCTTGCTAGATAGAGATATTCCCCCCCCCCAAAAAAAACTCCAATTTCTTTCTAGTATATAACAACAATTTGTTTATAAATCTTGCAGATATTTGAAGAATAACAATATTTCTGATTCACTTCCCTCCAATATGGATGAATTATTTCCGATGTTGACCCACTTGTGAGTATTAGCCATATACGTGGCTCTTCGGATGCATATATGTCAAATAGCATGCTTAGAAGAATATCACTTTCACATTGGCATCAAGATAGTAGTTGTAGTAGTAATAGTACTTGTTTGTTTTATTCAATGCTCTTGAGTTTTTTTTTCCCAATTATATATGCATGTGTTGGTTCTTTCAGGGATTGGCGCTTCAACAATATCATGGGACAGATTCCAAATTCACTTTTTCGCATGCCTCAACTAGAAATATTGTAATTAATATATATCCTGTGCCTAAGTAATTAAATTAAGGATTTCCTTATTAATTGCAAGTTTTCATTATTGGATTAAAGCATGGTTCATTTTTCTCCAATTTCAGGTGCCTAGGGAATAATGCTCTTAGTGGTACTATCCCTACCCATATAATCTTGCCTACTCTTAAAAACATGTGAGTATTCTTGAAATATTTGCAACTCCGCAATTAATATTCCAATGCATTAAGAATGGAATGTAGAGTGTGTGTGTGTGTGTGTGTAATATTATATATCTGCATGTATCATTATAATGCTTAGTAAATCTTATATCTCAATGAATTTATAGACTCCAACGTTTTTACTATTTTCAAACTTAGATGGAAGCTGTGCGTGTCTTCCTATGCATCCACATTATATTCTTATAATATGTTAAGTCTATATCCATATATCTACAAGATCATTGCCATAGTGCTTGTGAGCATATGTAGAAGTTGCTCCAATATAACAATGTAAATTTCAAACTTAAACTACTGATACTATGTTATTAGTTGCATTACAACTTAATTCTTCCATGTATTCATTGTCCGTCATCAATATCACGGCATTTACTTAACTGTCTTGTACTTGAATGAATACTACTTTCAGAGACTTATCCTACAACAAACTATCTGGGAGCCTACCTCGTGAGTTTTTCGAAAAATAGTAAGTAGTTTGATGGTGTATGTTATTATTATTTCTTTTATTCCACCAATTATTTGTCATTTTTTTGTTAATTTCTAGAGTTATTTGCTTTCCATGAATAACTGAAAACTGGAAAGCCCTCCTTGCGATCCTAGATGCTAGAAATAATAGTCAACTCATGATCCTTGAAATTGAAAGGCACCTAAAGTTAGAACAGTTAAAAAAAACCCATGGTCTAGTACAACCTGTTCAGGTCAGAGTGAACCCCATCCTGTCTAATCTGAAAACAGCTGATCTGATGAAATAAAAGACTAACTGACTCTTTTGGGTTGGACTGGACCTAGGACCAGCCATTTAGACCATTTGGTTTGGTCTAGTCTGAACAAAATATTATATATACATATATATTATTAAAATAATTCTAACCTAACACTTCTTGCATAGACTCACTGAGAAACACTCCTACCGTCATCAACCCCAATACCTCACCAACCTTAGTCTTGCTTTCTTCTTTCGTCATCTCTCTTCTTTCCACTTTCAACTCTCCATCTGCCATCTATGATCCCAATCTCAGAATCAGAAGCAAGAAGTTAGTCTCCCCATCATGGATTTCAGTCCCTACTCTTCAGCCTCCCACCTGTCTCTTCTTCCCCTATCATCTTCTTGATTTTCCTTGGTCTCCATTTTGTTCCATTAGCAAAGATCTTTTTGTTCCATCACCGACAACCACGCCGTTACGTGTGACTATTGGCAACGACTCCATGACTAGAATCTATTTCCTCTATCTTTCGTTCGCATTGCCATATCCTCAATCTCTCCCTCTTCAATTTACCAGCATCAATGCCATCCTCAATCTCTCCCCTTCAGTTTGCCAGCATTGATTAGCCTTTAACTTGTCTTCTCAATCGACTTCGCACCTTGCAACTTTTAGATCAGGTATGCATCTTCCTCTTACGCATCGATTTTTTATTCGTTTTCATCCTCTCCATCAGTTTATGCCTCTTTCTCCCTCATCTTTGATCTGCCCTTCACATACTCAAGCCCAATGTTGTTCCTCCTCCCTCATTGTCCATTTTTGGTTGCCTATTAAGTGGGTTTCACTAGTTGAATTATTTTAGAAAAAGAAACAACAAATAGGTTGACTACCTAGATCGGTCACCCAAATTCAGGTTCTTTCTAGACCAATCCAAACCATGGGGTGTGTTTTATAGCCCAAGGTCTTGTCTAGACCTGTACTCATATTGATGAATAACCCTGTTTGGTCTAGTCTTCACACATCCTTACCTAAGGTGACTCTTTATAATTGAGAGAGAGAGAGAAATGAAAAGCAAAAATAAAAGTTCATTTGACAAAAAATAGAATGCACTAAAATCATGCTAAAGGGAATACAAGCCTACATGGAATAGTTGGGAGCCTAGGGCGGACCAAAGGAGCATGTAAAGGAGGTGGAACGAAAGTCTATAATAATTCCTCTAAAACACACTGACTTTCTTTCTATTTTATCTTAGATATAAGATACCTCCTTTTTATTTTTAAAATTTGACAAATCTCTATAAAGTAATTTGTTATGCAATTTTATCTTTAAAATATTTTTCTAGGTACAATTGTGCATTTAAAAGTATTTCTTCAAATGTAATTTTGTCTTGATCATTAACTCCTAAAAAGTTTATTAAAGTGTATCTAATACTTTAGTAGCAGCAATTCACATCATAGTATTTTTATTAACTATTTTTTTTATATTTTAATATTCATCTTTAACATCTTCAATAATCAATTTTTCAATAGTTATCTTATATACTTTCTAGACTTATCTTTCATGTTGTCAATCCTAATTTTTAATTATTTTCAATGATGAAAACATGAAAGATAAGTATTGAAATAATTTAAGATGAATACTGAAAAGTTAAAATGGTAAGCAATAGAAATGTTAAAGGTTTGCCTTGCAAATATAAAATATGAGTGCTGAAAAAATAACATAAAAACATTTTAATGAGAGAATTTTATTTCATGAAAAAATTCTATATTTTCAGTACACATCTTTTATATTTTTCCTAAATATTTTCAGTATTTAAAGTAATTAAACATTAAGGTTGAAAACATGAAAGATAAGTCTAAAAAATATCTATGACTAATGAAAAAAAATTGAAAAATTAATTATTGAAAAATATTAAAGATGAGTACTAAAAATATGACAAAATAGTTATGAAAAATACTCTAATAGTAAAATTGTATCAAGAAATTACTTTATAGTGTTGAATGTCACTAAAAAATACTTTAGGCTACGGGACCTAGATGCACTTTCACTTAAGGAATTTTTTGGGAGTTGACAATGGGGTGAAATTATATCTAAGGAAAACAAAATACTTTAAGAATAAAATTATACTTAAAAAATACCTTGAGGGTAAAACTACACTGCAAATTACTTTAGGATGTTCAGTTATTTTATAAAAATACTTTAAGATCCTAGATATATCTCAACCCATTAAAACTCATCTAGGTTACCTAAAAAGTCAATGCATATATTTTAAATTTTTATTCACATTTTAAATTTTGTCGTGTTGAAAACTTATGTAATTAGTAATTTTTTTTAAAATTTAAGTTCATAAGTTGTTTTTTTTTTTCAATAACAGATTAAAATAATATTTCAAACACCTATGTACGAAAAAAGGTAATGAAATAAGGATTTAATATAATATGGGATAAACTAGTTAATATAATTTATGTTTATCTTTCTTTAACTTTTATTAATTTTAATACACAATGTTTTATAAATTATTTATTTTTATTTGAGTTTATATAAATTGGCGAGAGAAACTAAATAATTAGATTATGAGGGCTAATTAATAATTTTAAAAAGAGTTACAAATAATAAAATTAAGTATTTTTGAATCTTTAATAAAATATTTTGTAATTATGCTCAAAACGGGACCTTTTTTTTTCGCCAAATAAAATTGGACTAAAGGATAAGTTTAAAAATAAAGAAAGGATGTCTATGTAATTTTAGCAAAACAGAAGAAAGTCAGTATATTTTACTTTAATGACTAATAAAAATCATATTTGAAATAAATAAAATATTATAAACAAAATTTGTTATAATTTAAAAATAAAGATACATTATGGTAAAAATTATAAAATTATAATAAGATTTCACTAAATATAATCGCCTTGATAGTTGATCCCCCTAGATATAGGTTTTTTTCCCCTCTATGACAAAATTTAAGTCAATTTGCTTATATCTATTACAATTAATTTTTCAACTCAATAATACTTGAATTTTATCATAAATATAATTACAGCACATTATATTTAAGAACAAGAAAAATTAATCTTAAACTTTAAGTAAAAGAAGGCATAAAATATGTACAAAAAAAAGCATAAAATAGGAAATGACCTAGAAAAACCTAACTGAAAACAAAATAAAGTCACAAAAACAAATCACTTAAAAAATTAACAAATCTTTCTTAATTTCCTATAATTTCTTTTCCACTTAAAGAACTCTCATTCACAGAGTAAAAGCAACGATATAAATTTAACAAGACAAGATGACATTTTTTTTTTGGACCAAGAGACAAGATGACATTAAGAATATTAACTATATAAATTGTAAGCCGAGAATGTAACACGCTAACACTATATAATCAATGACATTAAGATCATTAACTAAAATTAAGGAGCAATAAATAAAATTGATTATACAAAAAACCGTGAAAAATTTGAAAATTTTTAAACCTTAATTGATCGTACCCCATAAAGAGTCCAGAATCCTTAAGCCGATACACTTATCACTTTCATAACATGAATACCAAGACAGTTAATGAAACAAATGCGAGATGAAGTGCATTGTAGAATTGGAATGAGATTTACAAACTGAAAGACATCGTCAAGCAAACTCCAAACGAGGTTTGTAATTTATCACCATAGAATTTATTTAGTTTTTTCACTAATTAATTTTATGATTATAAAAAGTTTCATTCTCCCTTAATACTTTTTCCTGAAGTGCATAAAACATTCATGTCTCATTATCACTGTTGAAGCAAATTACAACTGAGTTCATGCTTTCTTGTCACTGTTGAAAAATTAGAGGGAAAATTAAAGAGAGGGACCAGGTGGAAATGATATTTATTAGAAAGGATTTTAAAAAACCTTAATTACCTAAAAATACTAGATATTAAAATATAAACTTAAAAAGACTGAAATCACCCCATTCGCACCATAACTCCTATATTCTCTCACCACCTCCTATGATTTTCATATCATTTAGTAGAATAATTACAATTTATTTGAATTAATTCAAACTAATTCAAAGTTTTAAGTTATACACTGATTCTAATTAATTAAATTAATAGCCAACACTAGTTAATTTATTTTTCTATTATTTTTAATTAATAATTTGTGCAGGCTTTTTGAAAAATGAGCATAACAATAAATTTCTACCATTCATAGGAACAAAAAGTTATTCCGTATTTTTAGTTATCCATTTCATATTATTATTTTACCTGAATAAGTTGAATCCTTAATTAATAAAATTAAAAATTAAAAAGAAAAAGTCACATAAGAAATTCATTATAGCAATAAATATTTGTCATAATAAAAGTAGCTGTAATAGTTTGAGTAAGAAAATTCAAGTTTAAACCTACATGATATTTTTATTCTTATTAATTATGAATAAGTTACATAGTATTTATTATTATATAACTTTTTTTAATTTTTAATTCAACCATATGATTTTGATTGGCTCATTATTTAGGACCTCAAAAAAGAGATTTTTTCTTTTTAAAATGCTGGACAAATAAATTAATTAATATTACGTATTAACTGAATTTAATTAGTTAGAATTGTTTAGTAACTTTGTGATTCCAATTAGTTTGAATTAAGTTGAATAAAATTATGATTTTGTTAAAAAAAAAGATATTTGTAGGATGTGGTGAGACATAATATAAGGGATTTTGTTAAGGGCAAATTGGTAATTTTAAATTTATATTTTAGTATTTCGTCCTTCTGAATAAATACAATTTTTAAGATCTTTCCTTATAAGTGTTGTTGCCATTAGGTCCTGTCCCTAATTTTCCCAAAATTAGATAATAATTGGAGTGAGGTTTAGCTCTTTATATGTTGTATATAGTACTTCTTTATATACATATGTATATTTATATATTATGAGAAAACCAACATGGTGATCTTTATGGGGTATGATATGCAGCAATTTGGTTGCTAACAACTTCACAATACAGGATTCAAATAGCAGGTGATTATATGCTTTTTATTGAATGATTACCACAAATATATATATTTATACACACACATATGTATGTATACATATTAGCCTATTGTATATCACTCCACTTTGCACAAAAATTTGCAACTCTTGATCTCATTTTGGTCCATTTGTTGCTTGTCATCAATCGAGAATCCTAGGCTTCTTTTCGTTAAACAAACTTCAAGTTAATTCCTTAGTTTTTACATACTTGAATAATAGTGAACCATACATAATTGGAGGTTACATGCACATTTATGGTTTGATTTATGCTCTTTTCTCATGCAGTGGTCTTCCTTTTGGACACGAATGCCTGCAGAAAAATTTTCCCTGTTATCGTGGTCCTGGAAGGTGTAAGTAACGTACACTAAGGATTAGTTTGCTATGACAGGAATTAAAACTGTACATAAAGAAAGAGTAATCTTACATAACCTTTGAAACTCCAAGGAGAGGAACTTCTAAATTTATTCTCTTTTCTTTAGTTGACATAAAACCTCTACATAAATCTATTGAGATAGTCCTTTTAACTGTTTCCAAGTAGATTCCAATTTTGCAATCAAGTGTGGTGGTCCTTCAATTACATTATCAGATGGAACTAAATATCAAGGTGAAGACGAGGAACTTGATCTTACTACTTCTGTTGTCACTGACTCAACATGGGCAGTTAGCAATGTGGGGTTCCCCCGTACTCTATCGGCCTCTAATTCTTTGCCTAGCCAGTTCACTGCTACTATAGACCCAGATCTCTTCCACACTGCCCGTGGGTCTACTGATTCATTAAGATATTATGGCCTGGGGCTGCAAAATGGGGATTACCAAGTCACCCTTGATTTTGTAGAAACATCTTTTCCCAATGATAAGACATGGAAAAGTCTAGGAAGACGAGTATTTGATATATATCTTCAGGTATATAAATGTGATTTAATTTGGAGGGATGTTGCTGTTTTTTAATAGAAGGAAGATGCATGGATATTTGAAATTATCCATATTTGACATTCCCTGAGGTTTCCTTTTCTTTTGTTTGTTTCTTTTTCTTTTTTCACGTTTTAGGGAAGCCATGTTTTGAAGGATTTTGACATAAGAAGGGAAGCAGGAGGGGCCTCATTTAGGCCTGTAAGAAAGGAATTTCAGGTTCAAGTGACAGAAAACTATATTGAGGTCCATCTTAATTGGGCTGCAAAGGGAACTCGCAACATACCAGAAGTTGATACTTGTGGTCCTCTGATATCAGCCATCAAAGCAACCAAAGGTTAAACTATACAAAAATAGACAACAATCCAGAAGTTCAATTAATGATTTTTCATATATATATGACTGATATGTTCTGCTTATGTGTTGTATAGATTTCAGACCTCCTAACAGAACCCACCTAACTGTGGGAATTATTGTTGCCACCGTAGCTGCTGTAAGCTTTTTGTCTATTCTTGTGGTTTTATATATTCGGAGAAGAAAGAATCATGGAGATGGCGATGATGGTAAGGAAACTGGGGGAAAAAGTTTATATATATCCCTTTGAATTTTAAGCGTGCATATTCAAAAATGTCATTTCATGTAAAAGAAAAAAAAGGAAAAAATAATTTAATATTGCAGTCAGTTCCTTTTTCAAACAGTAATTTGTTACTTCAGTTCTGTTTGTCCACAATGACAAGACATTTGCCAATTTCATGATGGCATTTTTTTAATCCAATTATGGGCTTTGCAACTAGAGATAACCAAAAGATTAACCATACGTTTAGATGGAAGAGAAGTAGTAAGAGGATAAAATTTAGAGGAGAGAAAATATGACAGAAAAATATTGTTGTTTATACAGTGAGAAAAAATAAGAATGAACGCAAAGTGGTGGAAAAGAGAGACTTGAACCTAGCTACATGCATGTCTCTCCTTCAAGTTCACTCTTTAAAAGTAGAGATAATTTTAAAAATAACATGCCTTTGAAAATCTTTCCAACAATTTAGAGTTCAAAATTCATTTATTCATTATGGATATTAGATATTATTATCATTGTCAAATTAGTCATTTTTCTTTTTTCTATATTTTCTTTTGTTCATCTAGAGTTAATGAAAGAAAATATTTTCTCCTCATTTTTTCTCTTCCACTCTCTTTTTTCCCATTTTCTCTTTTCCTCCAAACAAATTCAAAGCCAAGTGTAGAGTTTTGTCACCTTATTTCTTTTCTTCAATCTTAAATAAAGGCAAGGTACAAATAAGAGTGCAAGTTTTCCTTTTGAATTTAACAGCAAACAGGGGCACCAAATACGCTCTAGCAATAATTTCTTTGCACAATCCATAACCTTGTTCTTGTTCAATTTACAGATCTTTTAGGTATTGATACCAAGCTGTATACTTTCAACTATTCTGAGTTAAAAAATGCTACAAATGACTTCAATCCTAGCAAGAAGCTGGGAGAGGGAGGTTTTGGACCTGTATATAAGGTGAAAACATAAGGCTCTTACTTTGTTGAAGAATAAAGTTTTATTTACAGATGTCCTAAAACCAAAGCTGCAACCTTTATATAGAGAATAAAAGGTTTTTATTTTGTATTCCAGGGAACACTTAATGATGGAAGAGTAATTGCTGTGAAAAGACTATCTGTAAAATCTCATCAAGGAAACAATCAGTTCAAAGCAGAGATTGCTACTATATCAGCTGTGCAACATCGTAATCTTGTCACATTATATGGATGTTGTATTGAAGGAAATAAAAGACTACTTGTCTATCAGTATCTAGAAAATGGGAGTCTTGATAACGCCTTATTTAGTAAGATCATTTTCTGCTATGCACATGTCAATGTTCTCCTGCCTTGCTTTTATTCCTCTTAATTATACCCTGGGTATATTCACCTGTTTGTTACAGGAAATAATTTTACTCTCAACTGGCCCACTCGTTATGATATCTGCATTGGCGTAGCAAGAGGCTTAGCATACCTTCATGAAGAGTCCCGGCTCCGCATTGTGCATCGTGATATAAAGGCTAGTAATGTTCTGCTTGATCATGGCCTTCTCCCTAAAATATCAGATTTTGGTTTGGCTAAGTTGTATGATGATAAAATGACCCATATAAGCACTGGTGTAGCTGGGACAATGTAAGTCATTAAGACCTATTTTTCTTGCTTTTTTACTCAATATATCAGCACAAAATTTAGGGGGAACATATATTTAGGTCCTAAAAGATAGATTTAGTGATAGTTAAGTCCATGAAAAAAAATTTCTAAAGAATGAGTTGCAAATATTGACTCAGATAATTATAAAGTGAAGTATAATAGTTGTAAACTGAGAATTACATTTAAAATTTAACTGCCTCCTATAATACTTCTAAATTTGTTTATGTCTGAATCAATATTTGCAGCTCATTTTTTTCGAAAATTTTACTGGGAACCTAACTATCATTAAATCAATCTTTTAAGACCTAACTATATATCATTCTTCCTAAAATTTATATACGTACGTTGAAGTTTGTCTTGATAAGCACTCATGAATTATGAGTAGTGGCTATCTTGCTCCGGAGTATGCCCTGCGTGGTCACCTTACAGAGAAAGCAGATGTGTTTTCCTTTGGTGTTTTGGCCTTAGAGATAGTTAGTGGGAGGCGAAATTCTGAGCCAAGTTTGGAAGAAGACAAGGTGTATCTTCTAGAATGGGTATGTATTACCTTTCTGTTTCGTAGACTTAGGATGTGTTTGGTTTCTATTATTTTGAGTTTTCATTCTTTATTTAGACATGTAAAATTTTATTGTTTAGTTAAAAATATGCTTTCTTTGTTATGAACGAGACTTAAACGACCGTAAACCTTTCAACAAGTTCCTATTACTATTTCTAGCTAACAACATGAACCTTTATTGAAAATTAGCATAAAATTTTTTTGACAAAATTACAAAATGCCGCCACTCATTTTATGGAAAATATTTTCTTCTAAATTCTGCATATCACATTTTTATTCATGTTTTATTGAACTTGCTTTATCAAATGAAAATAGTGGAACCTAAAATATAGGCATGTAAAAAGAATGCAACAAACTTTGCCACTCAAATTTTGAGAATTGTTGAAGTCTGAATTAAAGTTAATGATGAAACATGGAGAAATATGAGGGCAGGTTTGTTTTCCTATTGAATCACAGTTTTTTATTTTAATTTGAAAAACAAAATAAAAAATATGCTTGAAAATGTGTTTTTGGTTATGTGTTCTGAAAAATTAAAAAAGTTAAATCTTTTATAAAAACAAAAAAAAAAACATCTTTATGGCGTTTTGTTACTTTTTGTTCCACAAAATTAAAGAAGAGGCGGAGACCATTATATTTTTATTAATGCTAATAATTTTAATAAAGCAAACAATTCTTTCCATCTTCTCTTCACCATTTTTTTTTCATGTTTTTCAAAATAATGATTCAAATAGATTGCTTAAAATTTTTTGCTTGCGATACTTATTCTAAAAAATTACTCTACAAAATTGTTCTAAAAACATAAAAATAGAGAATGAAATCAAACAAATCCTATGTTATCTTGGACTAGGACTTCTATCTTTAATTAAAAAAAAAATCTTTTCTCATCATCAACCTAAAAAATTATCATTAATTTATGTATATATAAACAGAATCAATAGTTACTGATAAACCGTTGTTCACGTCATTTTTAACAAGTAATAAATTGCATAAAATGACAGATTCCCCTGCAGCATAGGAAGTGACTTCTAGTTAGGTATATAAACTATGAACATGTAACTATTTATTTATTATAATCTAAGTAGTGTTTTTGAAAACTAAATCCTCTCATGCACTGCAAAGAAGGCTATTTTAGTCAGCTAAAATACACAGAGCAGAACTGAAAATATAAAATAAAAATAAATAGCTAATGTCATAATGTCAAATATGATCATGTTTAGATATGTTGATCTTTAGCACCCTCCTCAAGCTGGGTTTTCGAAACCATGGTCTCTTTGATGTTCCTTTGCGATTTTGAGCAATATATATATATATGATTTCCTAGTCATCAACAGGTTTGGCAACTGCATGAAGAGAATCGTACAGTTGAAGTGGTAGATCTGAGACTATTATCAGATTTCAATGAGGAAGAAGTTAAGAGAATGGTAGGGATATCTCTTCTGTGCACGCAGGCATCACCATCGTTAAGGCCGGCAATGTCCCGTGTGGTGGCGATGCTTTCTGGAGATATAGAAGTGAGCACTGTAACTTCAAAGCCTGGATACCTGACGGACTGGAAATTTGATGATGTGAGCAGCTTCATGACTAGTCGAGTGGCAAAGCAATCAGAAGCAACTCAATACGACTTAGCAACAAGTGCTAGCAGTGTCAGCCGCCACCCAAACCAATCACCTGTTGATGCTTCTAAACCCATCCTTCAGTAAACTCTCTTTGAAGGTTGTTAAGCATTGATTGATCATGTTTTCTTATCTAATGGCAGCAAAGGCCCTCTAATGCCCTAATTGCTCAAATATTTTTTTTTTATCATTAAATTCTACATAAAATGAGTAAACTTTTGATATCTTATGACTATGAAATGATGTAATTTTAAACTATGTTATAGTGTTATAAGAAAACCAACTACGTAATTTTAGAGTAACATATATAATTATAGAACATGGTAGGAGCATTGGGCCATTCAATTCATTTTCTTCCACCTTCCTAAACCCCCAAATGAGTTTCAAGCTCCTACTTATATACTCATCATCAATATATTTTTGTTTTGCTATCACATGTAAGATCCCAATTTATTTTATTTATCATAGTTATTATTTTTCCTAGATTATCAATAAGAGAAGAAAATGAACCAGATATAGAATTATGAAACTGAACATCACTTTTATTCTTTTAAAACCTTTGTTGCTATGATCCTTTGACTCTGGGTCAACGTATGAACCGGGGAGGACAAACAGTACGTCAGTCAGCCCCATTGACCCAAAAGGACAATGATATGTACAAACGTGAGAAAAGAAGAAAAACTAAGGTTCTGAACATGCATACAAACAACAACAAACCTTCTAGATTATTAGATATCTCCTTGTCAATCTCACACCTAATCTGAAGTACCTCTCACAAGAAACATTATAAATCCTCTTCCTAGCTTCCTCTTCACTGAAAAGTGAGAAGAACTGAAAATCAAGTACAATGAATAACAAAAAGCTAGGAGGGAAATTTTCATTTTCTCAATCAACGTAGCAACAAAAATTAGTATACTTTCTGACAACCTTAGCAAGAGTTTGTATACAATAATCAATCATCTGTTGTTTGATAGCACCCTCTCCACTTGGCTTGTCCATGACAATAAGCCAGTGCTCATAGTCTCAACCAGGAAATAGTGGGGCCATCTTTGTGGTCAGTCGGTCATTGAAGTTAGAACCCGAGTTGAGAGGTGAGTAGGCCAAGTTGCTAGATCAGTTGACCTGGCATCAAACAATAGTGAAATGCAAGGCTACACAAAGATTGGGTTGGACCAGGTTTAACATTAGTATGAAGTTTGGTTGAAAAAAACCAGGTTGAAATATTTGGTTTGAGGTCTTGTCCAATCTGATTGAACTCGAGACCAAGACCAGCTTACGTTGGACTTGGTTTGCTAGGTTACTGGACTAGTCCACCAAACCTTGCTCCTTCCTTTAAAAAAAAAGGATTATACAAAAAAAAACCTTTGGATTTGAGCTGTCATTTTTTCTCTTAATACACACAAGGACATAGACCCATTTCCTTTAGAATAAAATAGTTTGATAAAAATATTTTTTATATTTTAAAATGCATTTTATTCCTTCTCTCTCTGCTCATTAGCCTTACGCCCTCACCCTTCTTCCCTCTGATTTCTGAATTTGAATGGTGAATAGTGAATACTCAAGAACCCATCTTCAAGTTCACAAAACAACAATCATCAAACTATTCCAAACCCATCTTCATCTCCCCTTCCTTCTCCCAACACTCACTCTCTTCCACCACTACCAATAATGGAGTTTAGCCCCAACAATCACCCCTACAGACCCATCATGGAAGAGCATGAAAATCATCCAAGATATGATCAAAGTTTGATAAACTAAAAATAAATATGAAATCTTTGTGAAAAACTTATAAGTGAAAAGGATGGGGTCAATTATTACCAGGAGAGTGAAGAAGCTGAAAGGCCAAAACTTAAGTGGAGAGGGAAAGACTAACAAGTAGCAACACTAAAGCTTGAGTGGAGATGAAGAGTACAAAAGAGGTGCAGTTGAAGCTAACATCGAAGCTTGAGTGAATATGGAGAGATGAGAGTAGGGGGAAGATGACGAGTCGAAAGGAGTAGCAGTGGCAAGCTGAAGGAAGAGGAGGATAGGAAAGAGTCACGACATAGATGAAAAAATGAGGAGGGCAAAAAAAAAAAATCTACCTGGACGAGGCCAAACCAAATGGTCCAAAGCATTAATCCTAAACCCGTTCTTGCCCAATTTTCTAGTTTGAACCGATTGGTCCAGCCTTTTTTACAGGCAGCTTTTTTCATACCAGGTTGGACCAACTTATTGTAGGTCGACTGGATAGACTGAGTTTTAGGTTTTTTTGCACGGCCTTAATGAAACAAACTAGAGTAAGCAAGCGTAATGCTTGAGAAAGTGGGTTGACAGATCTGCAAGTAGGGAGAGTGGTTGGGATAAGAGGGGATCAGGTGATGGACATTTAATTTGTGGAGGTAAGGTGTCTGGGAAGGAAGGTAGATAAGGAAGCAGGAAAAGAGCAAGAAGCTCAAGCTAGGGCGCGTGCCATTTCCAGAGAGAGAGGATGATCAGATAGGGTTTTGTGGTCTTGCATTTGGCTTGTCTCCCTTTCTTTTCTTTATGGGGTATTTTCCCCCTTTTTTTGCTAAAAAAGTTTAGGTGAGTTGGGTCTAAGACTCACAAGGTTAAGACAAGTGCGCTTAGAGATATGCTTACAGTTGCTTGCCAATAAGGTCATTGCATTGGTAGCGGGATTCGAAATAATGATCTTATAAGTTATGAACCAATTTTTTACTAATTGAACTAACTTGTTGACAATTTCTTTTAATAAAAAGACGAGTTCATTAAAACACAAGTACAAATAAGCCACTTTACATGATTACCGAAGTATAAGCCTAAAGTAGCCTAATCACAAAAGAGTTAAAGAAAAGATAAACGGGAAGACTGGGTTACAACATATTGCACTTTCAAGCTAATACTTTTAAAAAATAAACTGGAACTAATAATTCAAAAAATTTGTTTCGATTCTCTTAGATAATTGATTTTATTTAAAAATAGTAATAATTTGCTAATCCTTTTCAGTTTTCCCCCAGTTATTAGTTCCTACACTTGCAAATCATGATCCATTAATCATGACTAGTGTAGACGCTGACTAAGTGACACATAATTTGTCACAAAATACGAAACAGAAAAATATTTATTATCATATGATAATGTCTGGGCTTTGTGCTGGGCTGAGATACAAAGACAAAGAAGAATGTGGCCCATAATGTCTCGAGCTTCTATATTTTTCATTGTTTGTTCATTTTGTCCTTTTCTAAAAAAAATTAAGTTACTTTCAATTCCTTACAATTTTTTTTTCTAATAGCATCCAATATCAATATCTTAAAGTACTTGTTGGTGCATTTATTATTTTAAAATACTTTTTCAGCAATATTTAGTATTCTATTTTTTTTTCCAAATTCCAACGAGCCTACTATATACCAAAATTTGGTTATAATATGTCCAGTAAAATCTTGATATAGGATAAAATCCTCTTTAATGGAGGGAGATGAATGTTTCCACTAACTCTTCTCTCCATTTCCTCTCCACTTAATATTTTCATCATTAGATCAAATTTCAACAGCTAAGATATATTTTATAAGAATGTTATTAAAATATTAAATAATAAATAAAAAAATATAAATAAATTTATACTGTTAAGTGTTAAAATTTGATATAAATAGTTTAACATGATAAATTTTTATTATATTTAATATTATAATAATATTTTTAACTCAATTATAAATCTCAACTATTGGAAGTTAATCCAATGATGAAAAAATTAAATGGAGAGGAAATGGAGAGAGAAGTTAGTGAAGACATTCTTCTCGTTTTAATGGAAGCCAATGTAAATCATCAGAGTGAGCTCATATTTAGAATTCAGAAATAATTAGCAAAAACAAAAAATTGTCAATGAAGGACTAAGGTGATCTATTATTTGGTTTCTATAAGAACTTGTTTGGTTTGAGGGCAAGGGCATGGGAGGGAGAGAAGGGAAGTAAGGTCGTCAAACTCATGAGTTTAAACAAACTCGTGATAATGATATAAACTCGAATCGTGAACTCGTAAGAGTTTACTTTTATTAATAAATTGGTATTAAAAGTATATAATCAAATAATTAATATATAAAAAATGAGAACAATTTCATTTAAATATATTTTAAATTTAAATAATTGAAATTATATCCATCAATGTTCATAATTTATCATATTCAATAAAAATTTTTTTATAAAATTAATATATAACGTCACTAAACATAATAAAATCCAAAACTTTAGCACAAATTTAAGAGTAAGTTAACGCGATTTTGTAAGCTAAAAATGTAAAAATGGTAAACTCAGTAAATAAAATCGTAAGTTTAACTGAGTTTACAGTTATCACGAGTTTTAGAACGAGTCAACACGATTTTGTTAGCCGAAAATGTAAAAACATTAAACTCGGAGAGTCAACTCGCGAGTTTGACAACAGTAAAGAGAAGGGTAGGGTGGGAGATGGTGTGAGGGATTTTAATTTTACCTCATTTGGTTTGATTAAAGAGAAAGGGAGGGAGAGATATTTAATAATCTCTTATTTAGTTTAATAGAGGAAAGGAAGTGATAGTAATAATCAATTTACCACTTTATCCGTACATGTTAGTTTGCATTTTTATTTATATGCTATATAAGTTAATTTACATCTTAATTAAAATTATACAGTTTAATAAAAATACAGTCTTGTCATATTAATATGTGTATTAAAAAATTAGCACAGTAATGTTTTATTCTAATTAATATAATAATATATTTAAATAATCAAATTAACAAATTTTAGATGCTCTAAAAATGAAATTTTTGTTCTCTTTTAATAATGTTTTTTCTTTGAGTTTTAAAATATATTTTAATTAATAAAATAATATATTTGTAAAAATTATTTAAAATTATAATAATATAATTTTTCATTGTAATAATTTTTTATTTAAATTAAATTTTATCATGATATATTTTTTAAATTATAATAATATATATTTTTATTTTCTACTTATAATAATGTATTTTTTATTTAAAATAAATTTTATAATAATATATTTTATGGATACCAATAGAATATTATAAAAAATATAAAGATAAAATGGTCTAAAAATTTAGCTCCCCTCCAAAAAA